TTTTTTTTTTTTTTTTTACTTTTTTTAATGTAGCTTCTAAAAAGTTTAAAATTAAATATGTAAATTTAATTGTAATTTAATCCTACTGGACAGCATTAGTAGAGACTACTGAAATCTCTAGATTTAAAAATACATGAAAAATTTCAATATGCACATAATTTATAAGAAGAGTGTAATGAACTCCCATAAATGTGTTACCCAGATGAAATAATTATCTGGATTTAACCACATTTCCCTTATTGATCCATTTTCTCTCTCTGAGGATGTTTTTAAAATAAATGCCACATAATATAATACATTTTATTTTACCTCTCCATACTTTGCATGTGTCTCTTAAAAAAATAGGCTTTTCTTACATAATTACAATGCCATTAATATTACTTGACAAAATTGAAAATAATCTCTTTATATTATCTATTATTCAATCCATATACAAATTTTCCAATTATATAAAAAAATGTATTTTTTCACGGTTTTGTTCAAATGAGATCCAAACAAGGTCTACATATTGCATTTGATTGTTAAGTCTCTTAAATCTTTTGTTTTCATGCTTTAGATCTCTTTTAATCTTTTGTTTTCATGCTGATAACTTGCTGTGAAATCAGGTTGAGGGGTCCTGTTAGAGTATCCCATATTCTGGCTTTAAGTACTTCCTCATGGCATTTGTTTATTCATTTCATGTACTATAGACATTAGCTCTGGTAGCATAGTGGCTAAGACACTTGCCTGCTAATCAGACAGCTGGTGGTTCAAACCCACCAGCCACTCCTCGGAAGGAAGGTTGGGCAATCCTACTTCCATAGTGATACTGCCTCGGAAACCCAAGGAGGGGTCACTATGAGTCGGGTTTGACTCAATGGCACATAACAACAACAACAACAACAGACATTAGCTCTAAAGGCTATAGACACAGATTTGAGTAGCACAGATTTAACTTTTTTTGGGGTGTGGGGCAAGAACCTTTCGTAGGTGATCCTGTACCTTATATAGTATTCTGTTAGGAGACCCCAGAAGTCTGGTGCCCCACTCCTAAGATTGACCAGTGCTTTTGTGTGGTGATAGCCTGATCTCTACTGTAGAGTTGGTTCATTTATTGATGATCTTTGCTTGAACTAGTCATTTTAGTAGGGATTGCAGAAGAGAGGTTTTCTAGCACTCCTTTATATTTACAAGCTGCAATTCTATAAAGAATTTCCCTCGTCAACTAAAGCTGTTAGCTCACTGCCATCGAGTCAATTCAGTCTCATAGCAGCACCCACTGGATTTCCAAGGCTGTAAATATTTCCTCCTTAACTAAAGCTGTTAGTTACCCTGAAATAGTTTATTTAGAAAAAGCAGGTTGAATGTTCAATTCTTTCTCCTTTAATCGCCAGTTTGCTGAGTAAGGGGTTGTTGTTGTTATGTGCCATTGAGTTGGACCTGACTCATAGTGACCCCTCCTTGGGTTGCCGAGGCAGTATCACTACGGAAGTAGATTGCCCAACCTTTTGTCCGAAGAGTGGCTGGTGGATTTGAACTGCCAGCCTTCTGGTTAGCAGTCAAGTGTCTTAGGTACTATGCTACCAGAGCTCCTAGTAAGGGGTCAGTATTCTTTAAAATGCAGTTTAAAAATATGTAGCAGTAAAAAACTAACTTACGAAGTAAGCATGGATTAATGTGGTAAGCGTGACAAGTTATTCAAAAGAGAGCGGCTACATTCTCCTCCCGTGAGAATGGATTAGAAGAACCCTGTAGGATGGGGACGAAAGGAAGCTCTGTCCCAGTCTTCTATACCAGCAATGGAAGTAGACTATGAAAAAGAGATGGTAGTGCTTGAGGAGGGAGGGAGGGGCCTCAGAACTTGAATGACAAATTCTCATCTTCCTGTTTGGTTCAAAGTGGCAGTCAGATGAGCCCCTGAGTCCCTCTGTCTGTGTCTTTCCTGCCTACAGACAGTGGAAATATGATGGTGAGATGCTGGATCGGTACCGGCAGGCCCTAGAGACAGCTGTGAACCTGTCTGTGTGGCACAGCCTGCCCCCACTGCCAGGCCGCACACTCCTGGTCTACCTGACAGATGCGAATGCAGACAAGCTCTGCCCCAAGAGCAACCCACAAGGGGTAAACAATAAAATGGGGGGGGGTTTCATAGGTATTGAGGACCTCAAGCAGTGCCCCGTTCCCTGACCTGATTCTCTCAAATAAGCACTCAGAACTGAGCTAAATGACATTAATTTGCTTCCAAGTGTCAGTCCCTAGTTCCTAGGGATAGTTCCTAGAATGTGTCCTTCAACCCTGTTTGTAGATTATAATACTAACATTTCACATTTGGCTGGTACTTAGTGCACTCTAAATTTCTGTCACCAAAATATGTCTCACTTTCATTTTACTCCATCCTAGTGTTTTCTTTGGGTGGGAATACTGGTTCCTCTTGCCCCCAAGCAACTCCTAACTGGGCATCTTATCCCCTTTCCTCTTCCTTGCACCAATGGGGTGTTTGGCCTCCAAGGCTGGGAGAGCAAGGGTGGGCTCCAAAGCAGGAGCCTATCTTACCCTGGCCCTTGTCCACTCAGCCCCCCCTGAACTACGTGCTGCTGTTGGTTGGAATGATGATTGCTCGGGCAGAGCAGGTAGATCTCTTGCTGTGTGGAAAAGGCACTTTGAAGACGGCTGTACTTAAGGCAGAGGAAGGCATCCTGAAGACTGCCATTGAGCTCCAGGCCCAAGTTCAGGTCAGACACTAACCCCTGTCTTCAAAAAAAAAAAAAAAAAAAAAAGATTGAACACAGCAATAATAAAATTTCCCCAGCCATCCAGCCCACACTCCAGTCCTCTGTCTTCCAAATAAAATATGACTGTATTTTTGTACTCAGAGCTTTGCAATGCATAAAACTGAATCTCAAGACCACAGAAGAAAAAAAAAAAAAAAAAAGATTGGATACCAGCTTAGGAATAACATGACTATACACAGTTCAGAAGATTTCTTGAACAGGCTGTGGTGTTGCTCATTGATCATCTCCCTTCCCACCACATAACCCTAGCCTTTCCTTCAGGAGTTGGATGAAAAGGATGAATATGAATGTCCTCTGGATACTTTTGGGAAGTACCTGCTGTCTCTTGCTGTCCGACGGGTTCCTGTGAGTACTGCCCAACCCATGAGGAAGCTTGTCCTCCCCACATTTTCCTCTACGATTGATGTATCTTATTTCTTGACCACTCAGACTGACCTTACAAACCATGTACAGTATCCAGATCAACTTCCTGCTATTCCTCAACAAATCCTTTACCCAGGGGTGTGCTGGTAAATGTTGAACAACCAGCTCTCTAGAAAAATAAATCTTGATTAATAGTAATTGCCAATTTTTATACTCCTACCATGGCCAATTTCAAGCTGCCAACCTGAACCCAGTGTCTGGAAGAGACGCTCAGTAACACACCATTGTACAGTATTTCTCCCACTCAGATATGTAGATGCAAACGAGCACAAGAGTAGATAAGAGTAAAACGTAAAAAAGGAATTAGGAAATGATGACTTTGGAGTATTTATTATCTTTGTTTTTAATATACTTTATTAATTTTAATGTTTAATAATGGCTATGCTTAACGACTGTTCACAAAACTCCTAAAAATTTAACAATTTGCTGTCATGATACTGAAGGAGCCAGATCCAGCATACCACTGCCACTACCCCAACCTCCACCTTGATGCCTCCCGGATCAGGAGGGTAGTGGCTTCCCTTGTCCTAAATGCCTGGAAATGATATACCACCACCTTTAGGAGAGGTAGTTCCCCATCTCCCTCAAAATTCTCCTCTCTCTCCACTCCTCAGAGATCTCTTCTCTTGATATGCTGAACTCTTAGATGTCTCTTCTGTCCCTTGTCTCCTGGTCTCAGCTCTTCCTCTTTCATCTTACAGGTGGATAGGGTCATCCTCTTTGGCCAAGTTATGAATCAGAGATTGATAAATGCAGCTAAACAACTTTTCTGGCAACACATAAATTCCAGATGCCTCTTTGTTGGCATCCTCCTACAAGGGACAAATTACATGTAAGGATGCTCACACTCCCCCTTTCCCTGTACCAGAATGGACTTACGCCTCTACCCAAGCTTAGAACACCATCACTCTCCAGGCACCTCTCCAACTTTGCCTTCCTACTGCTACTGCACTTTGGATGCTGGAGGCTTCTTTGAAATCTTCAGCCTCATTCTGGATCCCTTTGTGAGGATCCACCCCAGCCTAGCACATAATCCTATTCAAAGCACAGAAACAGGGTGCACCAAAGTGTTAGGGGACAGTAACTGTTCCCGGCATTGTTTCTGATGGTTAGTGTGTCTGCTTCTTCCTTTGCCAGGTTACGAGATGTGAACCCCAATGATGTGACACTCTCAGGCTGTACTGATGGAATACTGAAGTGAGTACATGGCAAGGGTTTGGGGACTTTGTGGAATGTTTTTCAGATTCTATCCACGGTTTCTACTCCACTTATTTTACTTTTTAAACAAGATAGAATTTTATTCCTCTCCTACAGCTGTCCATAGTATCACAGGGACACAGGCACCTTCTGTCTTAAATTGCTTCACCATCCTCAGATACTCAGCTTCTACCTCATAGTTCAAGATGGCTACTCCAGCTCCAGCTATCATGTGTGGATTGCATCCAGTAGGAAAGAAGGAAGGGGATATGGGAAATGGCACTGTTTATTTTTAATTGATGTGACCAACTTTATGTTTTTCATTTTATTCACTCTCTATAGCCTTTGTTCCATGATTGATCTAAAAGAAACCATCTATTTCTGCAGAATTGCAGGAATCTCTTTGTCTCTCTCTCTCCCTTTAGTCTTCTTATTTACTTGTTCTCTCCCTGTCTTTTCCTCTGGATGCCTCCTATTCCCAGTTCCTTTTAGGAAGCCCCAAACACAGTCTTCTTCTTCCAGAGAGCTTTCATGGCAGATGCAGAGCTGATTAAGCCCAGACTGGGATGGCCTTAATCTTTACAACTTTACCCAGCCCAGTTGCCTATAGCTCAAGAGAAAGCCTTTAATAATCATGCATAGCAGGGGTTGCTGGAACTGGGTTTTCTTTACTCCTATGGTTAAGTCTACATTTATTTTAAGTCTGCATTTGCTGCTTGTGGTCATCTTCCTAAGGAGCTCCGGTTAATTGGGTGACCTGTCCTAGCCCTATCTTTGCCCCTCTCGTCACCTGATTCTTACCCCTGACGTTCTGCCCTGGTTCATTTTATTACTATTTATGTCAGGTTCATTGCAGAGCGTGGGGCCTCCCGACTTCTAGAACACGTGGGCCAAATGGACAAAATATTCAAGATCCCACCACCACCAGGAAAGACAGGGCTTCTGCCTCTCAGGCCACTAGAAGAGAATACTCCAAGCCCCTTGGCTCCAGTTTCCCAGCGTGGGTCAGTCTGTGTTTCTATGCTTTTGTGAATTGGGAGGGGCTGCAGTAGAAACCTGGAGAAACTCTGGTGACTGAAACTCTTGACTGTTGAGATACTCTGTTCTGTTCACTGAGCTGGATGGCTTCCTCTTTCCCAGGCAGGGGTTTCGGTAACACAGGAAATTGTCCAAGTGTGAACATGCCCCTTTCTCTACTTGGGAATGGAGGTTAGAATGTGGGGATGGCAGCAGGGACCATGGCTATACAGTCAGGCCTTAGGCAGAGGGCTTAGGAGCACAGGCTCTGACTTTCTCGTTCTGCCCACCAAAACCAAACCCAGCCATTGAGTTGATTACCACTCATAGCAACCTCCATTGGGTTTCCAAGGCAGTAAATCTTTATGGAAGTAGATTGCCCTGTCTTCCTTCCACGGAGTAGCTGGTGACTTTGAACCACCATCCTTCTGGTTAGTGGTCAAATGCCTTAGGTACTGCACCACTACAAATAGTAGCTTGTCCCTGGGGTTAGGTCAGTCCCTGGGGTTAGGTCAGTCCCTGGGTGATGTAATGGTTAAGTACTCCACCGCTAGCTGAAAGGTTCAAACTCACCTGGAGGTGCCTCAGAAGATGGGCCTGGTGAATTGCCTGCAAAAGGTCACAGCCTTGAAAACCTTGTGGAGCACAGTTCTACTGACATCCATGAGGTCTCCGTGAGTCAGAATCGACTTGGAGGCAACAACTATCCTTTGCGCTTAACCTTTTAAAGCTAAAGTTCACTGATAAGTAAAATGAGTGTTGTCATGAGCATTTCATGAGCAAATAGTGTATAATAATCATTTGCTAACAAAAGGAGGGGTGCATGAGTAATGGCAAGTGGGGTTTCAACTCCAGGGGTCCGCCATCAAGGCTATCAGCGTGTTATGCTTGGGAGGCCTGCTGGCCTCTCTGGTTTCTGTCTGTCACACCCAGCTCATGCTCAGAGCTGAAGGGTGGTCCACAGCACTCTGTGGAATTGGCTTGGTGGGCTGATCCCCAGGTTGAGCCCAGCCCTCTGGTCACCCCCAGATGGCGCAGCATCCAGCTTTTCATTTCGTCCACTTTCCGGGACATGCATGGGGAGCGGGACCTGCTGCTGAGGTCAGTGCTGCCAGCCTTGCAAGCTCGAGCAGCCCCACACCGCATCAGTCTTCGTGGCATCGACCTACGCTGGGGCGTCACTGAGGAAGAGACCCGGAGGAACAGGTGTGGGGCTGCAGAGACAAAGGCCTGGGCCAGGGATGAGAGGTTGTGTAATGGAACTGAGGTGGGGCAGGGCTGGGCTGCCGGAATGGAGGAGGGCCAGGGGAGAAAGTTGCCCTTGGATGCTAATGATAGCAGCCTACTTACATTTTGCTCCATGGTCACGTGGGTCTCGTCTCCCCAATCTCACCCATATTCTCTGGTGCCCATAACCATGCCCACAGACAACTGGAAGTATGCCTTGGAGAGGTGGAGAACTCGCAGCTTTTCGTGGGGATTCTGGGCTCGCGCTATGGCTATATTCCCCCTAACTACAACCTCCCTGACCATACACACTTCCACTGGGTAAGGCAGACAAAGTTAAAGCAGGGTGTGGGGAAATGACAAAGGTGAGGCAGGGCTGGGGAAAAGCCACAGTTTGTCAGGAACCCTGGGACTATGCATAGGTACATCCTTGACACTTGAGAGTATGTGATTGGCCAAGTTTCAGATGAGGGAATTCCTTTGAGAAGTATCTCTGATATTGGCAAGGGATGTCAGTCTCCCTTCTGTCATTTTCATACCGTGCTGCTTTGTGGGAAGCTGCTTAACTTAACCTAGCCTTGTTGTTGTTGTTTTGTGCCGTCGAGTCGGATCTGACTCATAGTGACCCCTCCTTGGGTTTCCGAGACAATATCACTATGGAAGTAGATTGCCCCATCTTCCTTCCGAGGAGTGGCTGGTGGGTTTGAACCTCCAGCCTTCTGGTTAGCAGTCAAGTGCCTTAGGCACTATGCTACCAGAGCTCCCTAACCTAGCCCTAATTTCCCATATATTAGAGAGAAATAATGACATGTTTATTGCAGAGGTATTATGTGATTTTTTAAATTATCTATAAAAAATGCTTGGCACATACATTCAGTAAATGTTAGTTGTGAGCTCCATTTTATTGGCTTGTGTCTGGAGGGAGGGAGGAACATTATAGAGATGAAGGAGCTTGAGGGCCTAGGCAGGTCTGGAAGGAGGGGTTAGTGTTCAGGGCTGGGGCTGAACTCTGCCTGTCCTCTGTCACCTCCCTATAGGCCAAGCAGTACCCCCCAGGCCGCTCAGTGACAGAGATGGAGGTGATGCAGTTCCTGAACCGGGGCCTCCGCCTCAAGACCTGTGCCCCAGCTCTCATCTACTTCCGGGATTCCAGCTTCCTCAGGTATCCCCGCTGTTGCCTCTAGGGCCAGTCTCCACAGAAGGTCAGACAGACTAGGTGGCTTGTCTCCACAAAATTCAGTGTATGGGAGTGAGGAACTAGAAGAGAGAAACCAGTCTTAGAGAGCTTGCCTTTGCAGACCCAATTCAGCCTTGGAGCTGAAGTCAGGGGCGGGTCTCCATTTGAGGATAAGTTTAAGGGCATAACACAACAGGGTAGTGGAGGCTAGGGTCTGAGTCCAGCCCCACTCTTGGGATATCTTTGGTGGATCAGTTCTGTGCCAGACACCTGGAAATCTGACTTTATCCCTGAGTCTGAAGAGGCTGCACATCGGATCACAGAACTGAAGAGCTACCTGAGTAAACAGGAAGAGATTACCTGCCGCAGGTGAGCTGGGGGTGGTGGAGCACCTGCACAGAGATGTGCTTGGGGGGCCAGGCCTGCTCTGACTTTGGGTGTGCTTTGTCCACAGATACCACTGCGAGTGGGGTGGGGTGGCAGCTGGCCGGCCCTATGTTGGGGGACTGGAGGAATTTGGGAACATGGTTCTAGAGGATATATGGAATATGATCCATAAGCTTTACCTACAGGTTAGCAGATTTGCTGGTAACTGAGGGACTGTGGAGGGGCAGGTGGTCTGAGTAGTCCAGGGTGGGGACATAACTTGGTGGGACATCAATGAGTTTAGGCCTGGGGGTCCTTAGGAGTCACTGGCCCATGTGTCTTTAGCCTGAGTCCCAAATGGAGCAACCAGTGTCCACCCCAGATGATGACTTGGTCCAGGCCACCTTCCAGCAGCTGCAGAGCTCATCCAGTCCTGCCCGACCACGCCTTCTTCAGGACATAGTACAGCAGCTGACACAGCCCCGAGGGAGGCTAAACCTGGTGATCGGGCAATCAGGACAGGGCAAGACCACATTCCTGGTACAGAGCCTCAGAGGCCTGGGCAGGAGGGAGGAGGGGGACTGCATGGGCTAAGGAGGTAAAGCACAGAGAGCTTGTACCTGTAAAATGTGACTGTGTTTTATGTTTCCATCCCATGCAGGCATCCCTTGTGTCAACCTTACAGGCTCCTGATGGGACCAAAGTGGCCCCCTTAGTCTTCTTCCACTTCTCAGGTGCCCGTCCAGACCAGAGGCTTGTTCTCACCCTGCTCATACGCCTCTGTACCTATCTGCATAGCCATTTGCAAGAGCCTAGTGCCCTCCCCAATACCTACCGGTGTGTGTCACCCCATTAGCTCAGCCTTGTTGATGCTACATGATACTACCCCTGTGTTCTCTCTCCCTTAACCCTTATCTTTCCCTCTACTTACAGAGGCCTGGTATGGGAGTTGCAGCAGAGGCTGCTGCCAAAGGCTGCTCAGTCCTTGCACCCTGGCCAGAACCTGGTACTGATCATTGATGAGGTTGACAAGCTAATGGACCAGAATAGGCAGCTAATTTCAGACTGGATCCCAAAGACCCTGCCCCGGGTGAGTGTGAGGAGAAGGTAGAGGATGGAGGAAGATTGGGGAACAGGTGGGACACTGTAGGGAGGAAGGGACCTCTCCAATATTGTTCTCCTTTTCCTTTTACCTCCCTGTACTTCCACCCAAATATCACAGGGGGTACATCTGGTACTGAGCATGTCTAGTGACACGGGCCTGGGTGAGACCCTGGAGCAGAGCCAAGATGCCCACGTGGTGGCCCTGGGGCCCCTGGAGCCATCTGCCCGAGCCCGGATGGTGAGAGAGGAGCTGGCTCTATATGGAAAGCGGCTAGAGGAGTCACCTTTTAACAACCAGGTTGGATCTAGGCTTGGGCAGATGGGTGGGTGTGGGGGTGAATCTAGGAGCTATTATGAGGACCAGGGGTGCTGGGGTTACCAGCTGCCCCCACAGACCTGCTCCTTCATTTTCTCAGGCGCTTCAGGCCAGGGAGAGTCATTAACAGGATAACTGTGCTTGCTTGTACTATATACCACCCTTCCCTCCGTGCTGTGTGGCTTCTCCAGTACCTGCTCAGCGAGAGGAGAGGAATAGAGCTGTGGTTACCTGGTGGGGCAGGCTGAGCTACCAGGGATTCCCTGCAGAGGGCTGGCCGGGCAGAGCAGTGTAGGGAGAGGAAGGCCTGTGTCCTGAGATGATGCTATGGACCTCTCCTTGTTGGAGACTTTCAGAGGCAGAGGAGCTGCCTGGCAGTGGGCTTGGTGCTAGGAAGGAGGGCAGGCAGGCAAGGGCTGGCAGTGGGCAGGTTGTGTGTCTCCATGGTCCCCACACTGAGTCTGTGAATCTCGTCAGATGCGGCTGCTGCTGGTGAAACGGGGGTCAGCTCTGCCACTCTACCTACGCTTGGTCACAGATCACCTGAGGCTCTTCACACTCTATGAGCAGGTCAGTTAGGGACATAACCCCACACCCTTCATCCTCTAAGTCCTAATCCCACTCCCCATTCCTCATTCAGCTTCTTCATCTCCTTACCTCATCCCTTCATCCTTCATGTTCCCCTATCCTTACCCCTTGCTGTCTTGCAGTCATCCATTCCCTCGTGCTCACCTCTCCCCCATTTCTTTTTCATCTCTCCCTACCGTTTCTCATTCTGCCCCCTTTGCAACTATTCAACCAAGCCTTTTAGCCAAAGCTGTCCCCTTCTCCCTACTAAGTCCAATCTCCTTTCTCTCCAAGGTGTCTGAGAGACTCCGGACGCTGCCTGCCACCATCCCTCTGCTGCTGCAGCACATCCTGAACACCCTGGAGCAAGAGCACGGCCCTGATGTCCTTCCGCATGCCTTGGCCACTCTTGAGGTCACACGTAGTGGTCAGTGCTCAGGATGGATTGAGAGGCTGAGGGCTTGGGGGTTGGATGACCTTGGTTCAGTTGGGACCTCAGTGAATGGTACAAAGAGGATTAGGTGCTCCGGATAGGTATGCTGTGAGGTTGAGTAAGGGCCTCAGAGAGCTTGGGTTTTCAGGTCTGACCATGGATCAGCTGCACGGAGTGCTGAGTGCATGGCAGACACTGCCCTGTGGGGGCAAGACCTGGGAAGAAGCAATGGCTGCTGGTAACAGTGGGGACCCTTACCCAATGGTCTCATTTGCCTACCTCGTCCAGAGTCTGCGCAGGTACAGGTTTCCCTGATTGAGCTTTCCACTGACCTCACTGTGGGACCCTCTCCCATCTTTGAGACCAGGCCCTGGGTGATCCTTTCTTCATCCTACCCTTCAGTATAGCTCTGACACCTGTCTCCCAGGCCCAAATGAGCTGCCACTCAAGTTACCACTATTGGAGATGTGAATGAGGGCCCACAGCCATGGCAGGTTGCTGCCTGACAGGCCTCCTCCCTCTCCTCTCCTTCCTCTTCTTCCTTCCTCACATGAGGACAGTTTGCTAGGGGAGGGCCCTCTGGAACGTCTTGGTGCCCGGCTCTGCCTCCCTGATGGGCCCCTGAGAACAGCAGCTAAACGTCGATATGGGAAGAGGCCAGGTCTGGAGAGGACGGCACACATCCTTATTGCAGGTGATTGCAGCCAGAGTCAGCTGGGGCCCTGAGTGAGGGGTCCAGGCCAGGTGGGCAGGAAACTCACTGGTGTTCTCCACTAGCTAGACCCTCACCTGCCACCCCAGGTGGATGACTCTTGCTGTAGCTCCAGGGATGTGATCCAGGAGGTGCTGCAGGCCTGAGCCCATCTCAGTGTCTGTTCAATGATTCACCTGCAGCTCAGCTCTGGAAGACATGTGACCCTGATGCCTCAGGTACCTTCCGAAGTTGCCCTCCTGAGGCTCTGGAAGACCTGCCTTACCACCTGGTTAGTCCTCAAACCCCCTGATAGCTTTCCCCAACCAATGCTTTAGATATTCTGAGATCACCCTACCATCACTACCACCACCATCCACCATCCACCATCCACCATTGCCATTACCCCATTCCCAAACCCCTTGTGTCTCTCTTCTTTCAGTTTTCCTGCTATTTTTTCCTTTGTCCCAGCTCTGGATCTCAGTCCAAGATGCACAGGCTGTATTTAAGAAAATGTCTCTCCTCACTATATCCCTAATGCATCTAATCTGACTCTTCCCAGCTCCAGAGTGGGAACCGTGCCCTTCTCGCGAAGTTCCTCACCAACCTCCACGTGGTGGCGGCACACCTGGAACTGGGTCTGGTCTCTCGGCTTCTGGAGGCCCATGCCCTCTATGGTGAGATGACTGACTGGGTGGTTTCTTCTCTGAGGTCGGGGTTCCTAGGTGTGGTCATAGGGGGTTCTGCTCAGGAGGAGGGGAATAGAAAGAACAGTCAAGTTTTCCATTTCAAGTTGAAAGAGTCAAGAGGGCAAGTAAGTGATTCTCAGGAGACCTTTTATCTAGATCTCTTAGACCAGAGTTTTGAAGCTTTATTTAATGGGTATAAAATGTAATGGGCACAATCTAGGAAACTCTAAATTGCAGATCCTTAGGTCCCCAGATTCTGATTTCCTAGGTCTGGAGCATGTCCTTGGGTGGTGCAAACAGTTAGTGTGCTCAGCTGCTGAACAAAAGTTGGAAGTTCAAGTATAGCCAGAGGTGCCTTGGAAGAAAGGCCTGGTGATCTACTAGAAAACCAGCCATTGAAAACCCTATGGAGCACAGTTCTGCTGTGACACACATGGGGTTGCCACTGAGTCATAGTTGACTCTGTGGCAACTGGTTTTAGTCTTTTAGGTCTGGATTGGGGCCCAAAGCTTTGTACTTTTAATAGTTGTTCCTGATGTATGGCCAGAAGACCAGACTTTGGGACTTACCCCTTATGAGTTCATAGGTGCTGAGGATAATGGGGTCCAGAATTGCTCCCCATTGCCACGCAACCTCTTTTATAGTTTCTTCAGTCCCTGAAGAGGAACAAAAGCTCCCTGATGCTGATGTTGCTGTATTTCGTGCCTTCCTGAGGCAGCAGGCTCCAGTTCTTGGCCAGTACCCGCTACTCCTATACCAGCAGGGAGCCAATCAGCCTCCAGACTCACCTGTTTGTCACCAGGCCCCCCAGCTCTCCCAGAGATGGCAAATCCCACGTATACTGCGATGGCGTAATAAACCCCAGACCATGGGGGGCCAGGCAAGGTAAGACACTCAACGCCAGACCCTGGAAAGCCCGCCAGAGAAACAAGGTGCAGCCCATTCTGAAGCAGAAGAATAAAGGACAAATGAGAATCACTGAGGAGAGGGATTCAGACAGAGAAGTGCAGAAGTAGGTTCACACTCATGTCTTTTCCCTCATTTCCTCTTTCTTCTTTCTCTAGTTCCAGCCTGTGTCTGTCAGTTTCCTCATCCCCCACAGCTGTGGCCTTCTCCAGCAATGGGCAAAGAGCAGCTGTGGGTACTGCCGATGGAACAGTTTACCTGTTGGACCTGAACTCCTGGCAGGTATGGCACTCAAGGCAGAGTTTACCTTCAGAAAAGCCTCACGGATTGCTTTGAAGCCCTAAACAAGCCAAACCCAATCTGCTTTCACCGTTGTTGATTCAGCAACTTCACTCCACTCACATGTGATCAAAAGGGGTTATTCAGAAAATCAATCACAGCAAATATTTGTTGCACACCTTCATTCACAGGGCTTAGGACATTGTATTTGCCTAACAAGCAGTTCTTTTTGTTGGGAGATAAGACATTTAAGGTAAAAAGAAGAACTAAAGCATAGTGCTGTGATGTAGGTAAGGACAGAGTGAGTTGTACAGTTATAGGAGGACATAGGATGGAGAAGGGCAGGTATTCTGGGTTGAATGAGGAACCTGAGCAGAGACACAGAGGGGAGAATGTTTTTCATAAATTGCTGGAAATGATTTCAGCAGAAGGTGCCTGTGGGTGGTCAGAAGTACATTAGGCTAGAGATAGGGCCCACAGCCACTCTCTCTCCTCTTCCCCTGATAACACCCTACACACCCTAACATACATAGGTATGCACATAAGCCCATCCCCTCCTCCAAGAAATCCAAACCAAACTGTGGCATTGATTCTGACTCATTGTGACCCCATGTGTCTCAGAGTAGAACTGTGCTCGGGAGGGTTTTCAGTGGCTGATTTTTCAGAGGTAGATCTCCAGAATCTCTCTGTGATTGGGGAATAAGAATGGGGTTTAGGGTAGGGAAGGAGAGATGGACCCACTTGAACCTGTGCATGACCTGGGAATATAGACAGCCAAGGACTCAAGTCCTTGCCTTGGTCCCCTTTTTGGTTGGGGCCTGGAGTGGGGAGACATGGAGAGTTGAGGCAGTAGCCTGAGCTGAGCTTTCCCACTCCCTCTCATAGGAGGAGAAGTCTGTGGTGAGTGGCTGTGATGGCATCTCTTCTTGTTTGTTTCTCTCGGACACCTTCATCTTTCTTACTGCCTTTGATGGGCTCCTGGAGCTCTGGGACCTGCAGCATGGTTGTCGGTAAGGGGACCCTCCTCCTTCTCTTGCAGTGGGGGTCTTACTCATTTGTTGGACGCCCAGGGGAGGGAAATGAGGAGGGAACCGATGGCCAGGGGATCCCTGGGGCCTGACTTTAACTTCCTGGGACAGGGTGCTCCAGACCAAGGCTCACCAGTACCAAATCACTGGCTGCTGCCTAAGTCCAGACCGCCAGCTGCTAGCCACCGTGTGCCTGGGAGGATGTCTAAAGGTAATGCCTACCTTTAGGGCTGTGGTGGTCCAAGTGGCTCTGAACTGTGAGTCAGCCCATGAGGAGGTCCTGTCGCTGTGGCAGAGGCTGCTGACAGCTTGGCCTCAGGAAGCCTTCCCTCCTGAGGGCAGGGAGATGGACAAGGTGACTCCTGGACTGGAACCTCAGGCATTCAGCACCCTGATTACTTTTCTGTCTTCTCTAGCTGTGGGACACAGTCCGTGGGCAGCTGACCTCCCAGCACACCTGTCTTAAGCCCTTCAACTGTGTTGCCTTCCATCCAGAGGGACAGGTGATAGCCACAGGGAGCTGGGCTGGCAGCTTCAGCTTCTTCTGTGTGGATGAGCTCAAAGTCACCAAGGTAAGAAGCGCAAGTGGTTAGAAGGTACGGAAAGACAGACATCAGTAGTCTGTGTAACTTCAGGCTTGTGTTAAGAGGAGGCCCTAACATTTTGATTTCTAACTCCCTGTGTAGGAACTAGGGGCCCCAGGAGCCTCTGTCCGTACCTTGGCCTTCAATGTGTCTGGGCGGGTTGTGGCTGTAGGCCGGCTGGACAGGATGGTGGAGCTGTGGGCATGGCAAGAGGGAGCACGGCTGGCTGCCTTCCCTGCCCACCATGGCTTTGTTGCTGACACCTTTTTCCTGCGTGCTGGGAGCCAGTTATTGACGACTGGAGAGGATGGCAAGGTCAGGTTATAGAGGATGGGGGTGGGTTGTGAGGAAGGAGTCAGCAAAGCCAGGGAGTGTTGGGTGAGGGTGGTACTTTTGCTGAGGAGTCTGTGGAAGAAGTGTGACTGGTCGGAGCAATGGGGAGAAGGAGTGTCTGTGTGTATGGGCAGCTCTCCTGAAGAGTCTCTGGAAGGAGGACTTTATTGGAGAGGTATAATTCTGGGAGTGAAGAATCAGGTGGTGGAGGTGGAATATCTTCAAGTTCTTTTCTTGGCCCCCAGGTCCAGGTGTGGTCAGGGTCTCTGGGTCAGCCCCGTGGATGCCTGGGTTCCCCTTCTCTCTCTCCTGCCCTCTCCGTGGCTCTCAACCCAGATGGTGATTGGGTGGCTGTTGGGTACCGAGCAGATGGCATTAGGATCTACAGAATCTCTTCAGGTACTGAAGGGGGAAGGGATGGGGTGTTTGAGTCTTTGGAAAGAGGCACCCCCTTTCCACACGTCTTACACTTTTGTTTTGCTCCTTTTCTAGGTTCCCAAGAGGTTCAGTCTCAAGGAGTACATGTGGCAGTGTCTGCACTGGCCTGGCTCAGCCCTGAGGTTTTGGTGACTGGTGCAGAAGATGGGTCCCTGCAGGGCTGGGCTTTCAAGAAAAGCTCCCTTCAGTCACTCTGGCTACTGTCCAGATACCAGAAGCCTGTGCTGGGACTGGCTACCTCCCAAGAACTCTTGGCTTCTGCCTCAGGTACTGCTGGGCAAGGGACAGGGTTGTTGAATCATTGTTCCTTGTAAATATGCTAATATCTTGGATTTATATGTATAAGTATATATGAATTTATATGTATATGTATATAGAATCGAAATCAACCCCATTGCTGTTGATTGATTTTTATACCAACCCTATAGGACAGAATAGAACCACCCCATAGGGTTATAAAGGTGTAATCTTTTTTTTTTTTTTTTAATTTTTTGGAGGGTTTCCTCCCCTTCCCTCCTACCCCTTAAGGTTGTAATCTTTATGGAAGCAGGCTGCTATATCTTTCTCTCACAGGGAAGCTGGTGGATTTGAACCACTGACCTTTTTGGGTTAACAGCCTAATAGTGCTTAACCACTATGCTATCAGGTCTCTTCACATATGTATATACATATATATAAATATGTATATGTGTGTATACACATATTTATATATAAAAACACATATATGTATGCATATATGACTTTTAAATAACTTTCAAAAAAACCCACCTGTTGCCATTGAGTCGACTCCGAATCCTAGTGACCCTATAAAACAGAGTGGAACTGCTCCACAGGATTTTCAAGACTGTAAATCTTTACAGAAGCAGACTTCCTCATCTTTGTCCTGCCAAGAGGCTGGTGTGTTCAAACTGCTGACCTTTTGGTTAGCAGCCAAATGCTTTACCTACTGCACCATCAGAGCTCCATAATAACTTTCCAAGTGCTTTTAAATGCATTTATCTCGAATAATCAATCTAGACTTTGTTTTTTCCCCTTTCACTAACCCTGATCTTGGGACTTTGCAATCTTAATAACCCTTTGGGTTCCTGCCCAGTGGGAGGACTTTGCTATGAAAAGGGCTGGGTGTTCCTTAGAAAGTGAGAGAGACATGTTGAGGTGAAAATGCAGAATGGCCTTAGTCCTTTCTAGGTACAGGCTCAGTCCTCACTGATAGTGAAGTAGAAGTGATACTAGGCACCTGAGGAGGGGTCTGGAACAGCTACGATGGGAAGTGTGGTAGAGAGGGAGAGAGAGAAGGAGCTAGAGCTGAGAGTACCTGGCTTTCTTGTCCTGTGTTCTCACTTCATGACTGACCCTTGCCTCAGGCCTTTCCACAGTTTGATGACTCACCCATCCCTCAGACATCACCCTTGGCTCTGATTACTTCTGTCTTTGGCCTTCTAGGCCTGTCTTGTTTCCTCTTTCAGCCAGCCTTCCTTTCTCCCTATTTCCAATGCAGAGGATTTCACAGTGCGGCTGTGGCCCAAGGAGTTCCTGACTCTCTCACAAAAGGGAGAAGAACTTCCTTGTGGCACTGAGCTTCAAGGACACGAGGGCCCTGTAAACTGCTGTAGCTTCAGCACGGATGGAGGCAGCCTGGCCACTGGGGGCAGGGATCGGGTGAGCCACAGAAGGATGTAACCCTGGCCCTTCGTTCCCTGGGCCCTCAGTCTCCCCAGGCTCCATAATGTCTCTGGTTCCTATGCTCCTTGACAGCCCATTTGACATTGCTCCCCCCTGCTCTTTGCCAGTCCACACCTCCTATCTTCCTATGCTGGATCTGTTTACCTTCCTTCCCTCAAGAACCCCTATTTCTTTGAAACTTCCTACCTAAAATAGCCCTGGCATTCCCATTTTCCTTTATGGCCCTGACTACTTCCTCTCTTTGGACCTATCCAGAGTCTCCTATGCTGGGATGTGAGGATGCCTAATGCCCCTGTTCTGGTTCGCTCCTTCTCTGCCTGTCACCGTGACTGGGTCACAGGCTGTGCCTGGACCAAAGACAATCTACTGGTGAGTGAAGGAGTAGGGATCCATGGGGGAAGACTTCCCTCTCGGGCAACTACTCAGCCCTTTTCTAACACCCATTAATAACAGTAATAGCTAACATTTATTGAGCACTTACTATGTGCCAGGCATTGTACTAAGCTCTTTACTTAGTACATAGTATCTCACTTAACAACCCTATAAAGTAGATGCTACTGTTATTTCCATTTTACCTACTAGGAAATTGAGGTCATAGAGATTAAAGAACATGTCCAAGGTCATGTAAGTGATGCAGCTGAGCCAGGAAACTTTATGATAAGAAAGCCATATTCCTAACAAGAACATAGTACTATCTCCCCAGAGACTTGGGATGCCCTTTCCCTGGAGATAAAGGATACTGCTGTGATTTCTAAGGCAAAAGTAGTCTCAAATTATTTACTCAGGGTTGGTGAAGCTAGTTTCTCCATGTAGAAGCCCATGTTGTTCTTGAAAAGGGATGAGGAAGGAGTGAATATCAGTTTCATAGGTATGTCATAGTCTGTCCTACCCTGGCTTCTAGGAAGCCAGATCTTTCCTTGGCATTGATAGACTTTCGACCTTTCTCTAGGTTTGTTGACTGACATTATGTAAGGATAACAGCTCCTATTTATTTAATGTGCACTGTGTGCCAGCCAGCATGCTAAGTCCTTTATATAGACACACCCAGCCCCACAACAACCATCAGATAGGTACACTGTCATTGTCCTCATTGAATAGATGAGAAACCTAAGGGTCAGGGATTAACTTGCCCCAGATCACAAGAGAATGAATGGTGGAACTAGAATTTGAACCCAGGAGAGGCCTTGCTCTGAATCACGTAAGTATAAGAAAATGCTGGAGGGATGCTGATAATCCCACTTCTCTACCGTCTAACTCTTCAGATCTCCTGCTCCAGCGATGGCTCTCTGGGGCTGTGGGACCCCAGGTCAGGACAGCAGCTTGGTCAGTTCGTGGGTCATCAGAGTGCCGTGAGCGCTGTGGCAGCCGTGGTGAGAAGACAGTGGAAGGCTCACCAGGGGTCTCTGGGAGGGCTGTGGGGGCTTTGGGAGCCTGGATGCATTGAGTGTCTAATCTTAAAAGTGAAAGGAGTATAAAGAATGAGATGCTTGAGACTAAATTAGGACAGGATTAAGGCTGATATTTGGTGCAACGGTAAGCATTGGGAACATGAAAACACAGCATCTTAGTACCATGACCCTATGGCAAGATTGCACTCCTGAGCCATGCAGCCGCACCATTCCTGAGTTGTCCTCACCCTTTGGCATCTTCTAAGCCCCTAATAGAAGAAAGCCCTGGCAATCTGCTTCTGTAAAGATCACAGCCAAGAAAATCCTGGAGGTCTACTCCGTAATACATGGGATCACCATGAGTGGGAATTGACTTAATAGCAATTGGTTGTTTTACTGTAAAGCCCCTAATGCCCAGCCCACACCTGGGTTGTCATATTTCCATGTCTTGCTCAGTGTGACTCTGCTCTGATGCTGTTCTCTGGATGCAGGAGGAGCATGTGGTGTCTGTGGGCCGGGATGGGACCTTGAAAGTGTGGGACCATCAGGGCGTGGAACTGACAAGCATCGTTGCTCATTCAGGACCCATCAGTCACTGTGTGGCTGCCCAGGAGCCACGTGCAGGTAGTGGAACATCAGCCACTTTCCCTTACTTCCCTCCCTTCTCCTTGCTTCTTTCCTTCTTGTCAATCCATTGCTATGTCTCATCAGCTGGCCAGCCCGGGTCAGAGCTTCTGGTGGTGACTGTTGGACTGGATGGGACCACTAGGTTGTGGCATCCACTCTTGGTGAGCTCCTACAAGGACTGGGTGGGGTGGCAGGTGGAGAGTATATATTGGCAGCCTTCTGTTGTATCAACCCTCCACTTCCCATCTCCATCCCTTCCTAGGTGTTTCAAACACACACCCTCCTGGGACACAGTGGGCCTGTCAGTGCAGCTGCTGTCTCAGACACTGCAGGCCTCCTACTGACTGCCTCAGAAGATGGCTCTGTACGGCTCTGGCAAGTACCTAAGGAAGCAGGTGAGTGACGCGAGGAGAGAGGCAGGGTGCGACAGAAGGGCATGACACCGAGATAGCCTGGTGTCTTCTCTTGTATCTCAGCAGTGGCCCAGCTTCTAATGATGTATTGCCTTTTCTCTCTAGAGGACAAAAACAGACCTAAGAATCCTGTAGCCATTACTGCTATGGCCTGGGCCCCAGATGGTTCCATGGCAGTGTCTGGGAATCAAACTGGGGAACTGATCCTGTGGCAGGACGCAAAGGCTGTGACCACAGCGCAGGTGAGTTGGGGTAGCCTTGGTTCTTTGCTCTGTGTGGGTCTGGCCCAGCTGTGGATTTAATGGTACACACCAGGGATAGAGATTGCATTCATGCCTGGGAGGGGAAAGAGGGTCAATCCTTTCCCCTCAGAAACACTAGATATACCTTATTATGTACACCAGGCTTCAGACCGCATCAGTGCCCTGATCTGGTACTCGGCACACACCTTCTTCGTTCTGAGTGCTGATGAAAAAATCAGTGAGTGGCAAGTGGAGCTGCAGAGAAATTCAACATCTAGAAATTTCAGGTGAAAGGAACCAGCTGGGGTAATATAGTAGGAGCAATCCTTTTCTTATACCCAGATTTTACTCCAATCACTCTACCTCTGCTTCTGAACTAGGACAATGGGATGTTAGCTATAGAAAGGAAAAACAGTTTCTGGGAAATTGTGTTCTGCTCCTCACCATGTCAATTGAAATCAATAATTATCAGGTGCCCTCTTTATGCCCAGTGGTGGGCCAGGGAGTGTGAACCAGAGACAAATGAAATTTATTTTTTAGCTAATAAGGAAGCTCACAGTCGAGGAATGTGCATATAAGGAAACGACCAACACTATTCAGAGTGATTAGTGCTATAACGAAGATACATATAAAATTCTTGGGGCTGCAGAATTTGAGAAGGTGTAAGGAAAAGGTGGCATGGGGGTGTATGCTGTATTCTAGGTATAAGTGCGTGGGTGCATGCTGGGACTGGGGTGAAATTGGGTGGAGAAGCTAAACTGGGGCTAGGCTGTAGAGGGCACAGTGCTTAAGAATTTTAGGTTTTATTCTGACAAATTTGAGCAGAATCTTGATCTGAGTTTTAGGAAGAGAACTGGTGGTAGTATGAAGGATATGTAGTAGCAGAGAGAACCTGAAGGTAGGGAGGCCACTTTTATAGCTGTTGCTGGAGTCCGAGAAAGACATGCCTGCCCTGACTTGGACTGTGGGATTGAGGAGAGATATAGGTACAGACATGTGTTGTATGTAGAATCTACAGGACTTACCAATCACTTAGAGGTAGGCAGGGAAGCGAAAGTCAAGAGTGTTAAAGATTCCTAGTTTGAGCAAATAAGGGGATGGTGATGATGAACATTGATATTAGAAAAATAGAAAAAATAACAGGCTTTGTAAGCAAGGTGATGCATTTTGTTTTATATTTCACTCCCGAAGAGCTCATGGGGAACTGAGAAGTCTGAGATAAGTTCTAAAGTAGGCTCTTTCTCTGTCCATTTTCTTGGGTTGTACTATAGCCTTCACCTGAACCGAGTTCTACAGGAGGACATAGGCATCCTGTCAGGTCTGGGCCTGGCCCCTGATGGTCACTCCCTCATCCTGGCCAACGCAGATTTTGAATTGTTGCACGTAACACCAGGGAATGATCCCTCTGTAATCTGGTAAGATCCAAAATTCTGCTTCCTCCCAAGCTGGAAAAAGAAAAAGTGGATTAGCACTTACCCTGGTGTTGAGTCTAACTTACAACAAAACACTGAGTCTTACAGAGAGGTGTTCCTGAGCTCAGCCTCTTTCTTTCTTATGAACCAGGAGCTGCTATACAGAAAATGGTCTTGCAATGTTGTCTACCCACAAGGAGTATGGTGTATTTGTCCTGCCATCAGTGGCCCCTGAAGTTCTTTCTTTCTTAGTAAGTTCTGCTTGGGTGTGTATTAAAGCAAATATTTATTGAGGACCAATCTGTTTTTTAAACCTTGGGGCCCATCATGGAAGAAATTGTGAAGGGAAAGTCAGTTGGCTCCAAATTCCCTTCTTCTTCAACTGGAGAGCTTTGTATGTTAGGGTTCTATATAAGATTTCATCGGTACAAAAAAAAAGATTCTATTATTTAAAAAAATTATGGGAAACCATAAACCTAGGAATTTTATTAATTGTATTATTACTTTTTCATGTTTGTTTTTCTTTCCCACCATGAATATTAGCAACTCAAGAGAAAGGACTGCATCTTGTCGCTGTCATTCTGCTTAGCCATTTCCTTATAGATATGCAACATTTGTTGAGTCGGGTGTGGTCAAAGTTGGCTGGTCACATCAAATATAGGTCCTTAGAGCCCTTTGAAGGCCCTGCATGATGCAAACAGTTAACAAGCTTGGCTGTTAACTGAAAGCTTGGAAGTTCGAATCCACCTTGGAAGGAAGGCCTGGTCATCTACTTCTGAAGCACAACTCCACTCTGACACACGTGGAGTCACATAAGTCGGAATTGACTCAATGGCAACTGGAAGTGGGAAGGTGCCCTTGTCCCTAAAACACTTGTCAAATCCTAATCTGCCTATTTGCTACTTATTACTAGAGTCTGCCCTTTACCCAGCAATTCCACTGTTAGATACATGCCGAAGAGAAATGGGTGCATATGTTCCCCCAGAATACTGGTAGCAAGAATGTTCATAGCAGCTTTATTCCTAATTGCCAAAACAACCCAAATGTCTATAAGCAGGATGTTGTTGTTATTACGTGCTGTGGAGTCAGGCCCAACTCTTAGCGACCCCTCCTTGGGTTTCCAAAGCGGTGTTACTACGGAAGTAGATTGCCCAACCTTCCTTCCAAGGAGTGGCTGGTGGGTTTGAGCTGCCAGCTTTCTGATTAGCAGTCCAGTGCCTTAGGCTCTACGCTACCAGAGCTCCTATAAGCAGGATAGTAATAAATAATTTGTGGTATATTTATACAAGGTAATACTAAATGACAAAAAAATAAAAAAGGATGGGATACTGAATACTGATGAATGGAACAAGATAGACATAGGTTATAGATGGTATGTTGGATGAAAGAAACCAGACACAAAAAGTACACACTCTTTGATTTCCCTTAAATGAAGTGTACAGACTGGTGAAACTAGTACATGGTGATAGAAGTGAGAACAGTACTGAGCTTTGGGGGAGGTGCTCTGGTATGGACTGGGAAGGGGTATGGGGAGAACTTGCAGGAAGATGGAAATGTTCTACATCTTGATCTGGGAGGTGATTCATGGGTTATGTGTGTACTGAATATTCATTGAGATGTACTTTGAAGATTTGTACAGTACTTTACTATATTTAAGTTGTAGCTCAAAAAGAAAGGAAAAGAAAAAATGTCTTAACTAGTCAGAGCAAAAAGCTCTTGCTTTGTCTGGACAGGACTGAGTGGTATGAGTAGGCTAAATAAAATTATCTATGCTTTCACAGAGACAAAAGGAATCAGGAGAGTTTGAAGAGAGCCTGGACTTTAATATCAACCTAGAAAATCCTAGTGGAGCCCTAATAAGGGTAACTCAGGCCAAACCTGAATCTGGTGAGTGATGACAGGCAGACCCAAGGGACCAGTGGATGGCCTCAGAGAAAATGGTGGTGCTTCTAAATCTAAGGCCTATCCTGGCTCTACTTCTTCCCTTGGAATGGCAGAGTCCTCATTTTTGTGTGCCAGCTCTGATGGAATGCTGTGGAATATGGCCAGGTGCTCCCCTGAAGGAGAATGGACCACAGGTAACATCTGGCAAAATCCTGAAACCCAAAACACAGAAACAGAATCATCTACATGCCTGGATTTAAATGTCAGCATGGACACCTGGCGAATAAACTTCAGCCTAAAGACACGGCAGTGTAGAAAGGTGAGTCTGAGGGAAGGATGAGTTTGGAAGAAGAGGGCTAGAGATCTGACATAGAAGACTGGTGCTTCCTTGACTGAAAAATGCTCACGGAGAAATCATCATATGTCTCTCTCTCTTCTCTGAGATCCACTCGGGCTCTGTCACAGCTCTCCATGTTCTGCCTGAGTTGCTGGTGACAGCTTCAAGCGACAGAGATGTGAAGCTATGGGAGAGACCCAGTATGCAGCTGGTAAGTGTGTGCAAGGGGGGCATACAAGGGATGTCACAAAAGAACAAACAGGGTAAGAAAGGGCAAGATCAACATCTTGGTTTCTTTTGGCAATGATGCTGTACCAACCTTTTTCTAAATAAAAGGCATTAATGTGAGAGAAAAATAAGTTGGTAGAGAGGCCTTAGGTTTGTAACCTTCATCTTTCTCATTTGTTCCCATTGTAGCTGGGCCTGTTCCTCTGTGAAGCGGCGGTTTGCTGCCTAGAACCTTGGCTGGGTCCTGATTCTACCCTGCAGCTCGCTGTGGGGGATGCACAGGGCAATGTATACTTTTTATCCTGGGAATGAAGATGTTTTGACTCAGAGGAAAGATGAAGCCACTTGTGCTACACATAAAAAATCTGAAGAGACCAGGACTTGCTTTCTTAGTAAGGTTATAAAAATAAAGTGCCAGACAATCTCAAGGATAATCCGCCTGTGTTCTCATGTGGATTGGGACCAAGAAGGAAGAATATGGATGTTCTGTTTCTTATCTGATGTAACATTAATCCTTACTAGAACTGCCAGAAAGTAAATCATATCATTAATTAGCACTCTTTGAAACAAAGCTTTAAAATCCTGTGTCACTTGCTAGCCCCAGGGATCTAGGATATCATTCTTGCCAGGAGGAGGAGGAATGACAGTGATGTTGGCCAGCACTAGAATAGACAGCTAAAGGCCTCTCCTTGGCTAAATAAGACTAAGGAGAGGAAGAGCGAGTCATTAGTGCCCACATCAGGGCATACAGAAAAACTGTGATAAGACTGGAACAAAACTAATCTCTCACAGAAACAGCCCCATCTTAACAGAACTGACTACCTAGATGTGAGGTGAGCAGACAAGATACTGAGCGCAAAATGAGTCTGCTGGCCCTCACAACCTCTGACAGGGCAGCAGTAGCCACTTGATTTGCAGGCATTAGTCAATGTAGAAATTGGCATTCTTCTTCTTCTTTTTTAATGCATTTTATTGAAATATAATTTATGTACAGTCAAATGTACAAAATTAAAGTGACCTGGGTCAGTGTATTTTTTTTTTGCAGTGTTTGCTTCCCACCCTCCCACCTCTGACAACCAACAAAGAAAGTTTCTCTCCATGTATAAACCTTTCCTTGACCCTCCACAACAACAAAATAATACTATATTTGTCCTGTGACTGACTGACTTCACTCAGCACAATGTCCTCCAAGTCCATCCATGTTATGCGGTGTTTTGCTGACTCTACATTATTCTTTAGTGCTGCACAGCATTCCATTATGTGTTTGTACCGTAGTTTGGTCATCTACTCTTCCGTTGATGGGCAGCATGTCGGTTGTTTCAATCTTTTTGCTATTGTAAATAGTGCTGCGATGAACATGGATATGCATATTATCTGTTCCTGTCCTGCCTCTCACCTCTCTAGGACATATACTTAGTAATGGGATTGCTGGTTCAAATGGTATCTCCAATTCCAGCTTTCTAAGGAATCACCATACTGCTTTCCACAGTGGTTGTATCACTTCACAGTCCCACCAGCAGGAGTCCCAATCTCTCCACATCCTCACTAGCATTTGTTATTTTCTGTCTTGTTGAACCTTGCCATCAGTGATGGGGTGAGATGGCATCTCACTGTTGTTTTGATTTGCGTCTCTCTGGTGGCCAGTGATCATGAGCATCTCTTCATGTATTTGTTGGCCACCTGAACATCTTCCTTGGTGAAGTGTCTATTCATGTCTTCTGCCCATTTTTCAATTGAATTAATCCCTTTGCTATTGAGGTGTTGGAGTTTTCTATAAATCTTAGAGATAAGTTCCTCGACAACTATGTAATTATTGACAACTATGAATTTGTTGCTGTCATTTTGTTATGTGTTTTTTTGTGGTGTTCATGTCTTTGTTCCATGTAATTTTCTGTGCTGAGCTCATTTTGTTTATGAAACATGTTATCACTTCCTTTGTTGCTATTGTTTTAGTATTTGCTAAATATTTGTGCTGGTCCTCTTTTTAATTTTGATGTGAAGGTTTATCATTTTTCTTTGAGGTTACCCTGTGATTTATAGTTTTCTTCCCAAGTTTAGAACAGTCGTTCTATCTTGTAGTTGTCTTGACTTCCCTACCATTTAGAAGTTCTGTAACTACACATTTTTTTCCCTCTTTTTGGTTTGTAGTTGTCCTCGTTTGTCAATTGATGTCTCTGGTTCCCTGTTTACAATCTTGTAGGCTTATTTATTTCGGATACTTCCATAGCTGGGTTGGTTTCTGGGTTATGTTATCATGTGTGTTAATGGTCAGTTGTTGTTTGCTGTTGTTGGGTCTTTGTCCAAAGGACTGCCTTTAGTATCTCTTGTAAAGCTGGTCCGGTTTTAAAAAATTCCCTTAATTTCTGCTTATCTGGAAATGTCCTAATTTTACCATCATATTTGAGGGACAGTTTTGCTGGATATATAATTCTTGGTTGGAAATTTTTCTCTTTCAGGGCTTTATATATGCCATCCCATTGTCTTCTCACCTGCATGGTTTCTGCTGGGAAATCTGAGCTTAGTCTTGCTGGTTGCCCCTTGTAGGTAACTTTTCGTTTCTCGTGTGCTGCTTTCAGGATTCTGCCTTGTCTTTGGTGAGTTTGATGATGATATGTCTTGGTGATTTTCTTTTGGGATCTCTCCTGTTTGGGGTTTGTTGGACTTCTTGAATGGATATATTCTCATCTTTTATCATACCAGGAAAATTCTCTTCCAACACATCTTTGACAATTTTTTCTGTGGTTTTATTTTTCTCTTCCTGTTCTGGAATTCCGATGACACATAGTTTATTCCTTTTGATGGTATCCCACATGAACCCTAGGCTTTGCTCATTTTGTTTTGATCTTTTTTCTGATTGATCCCTTTCCAAAGAACTCTTGAGGTATTTACCTTCAGTCTCACTTATTCTGTCTTCCATTGGTTCAATTCTACTCCTTTGCCCATTCAATATATTATCTATTTCTGAAAATTTAGTATTAATCTTCTGGATTTCTGTCTGCAGATTTTGTATCATTTCTAATTTTTTTCATTTATCATTTTCTTCTTGTATTGTCTTTCAAAATTGTACTAGGGTTTTCTGTTTTTCCTCCATTTTGTCAGTGTTTTCCTTGATCTGTCTCTCAATTCGCTGAAGGTACCTAAATATAATTCTTTTGAATTCCTTATTAGGGAGTTCCAATGCTGCATTTCCTCAGGGATATGTTTTGGGTCTGTATCCTGGTCCCTTGTTTTTCCTGCTTTATCTTGCTTCTTTGTGTGGACTGTGATGCTCTGTTGTCTCTGAGGCATTGTGATGTTTTTGTGTTTATATTTATTGGTATTGTATTTTGGGGTGACTTGCCCATAATTTTTCTTTGTTTATATGTTATCTACTTAATCAGGGTACTGTGCTGTGCTCCTCTATTTGCTAGTTGACATCACCTGTCTCCTTTCCTGTTGTCAGCCTCTTGTACATGCCTGCCATCCTTGGCAAACGGAGCCTATACTTAGGTCCCGTTTTCATTCAGGCTTTTCCATTAGTTGGTGCCTCATCCACTTCTGTATACTTCTTTTCAAAGCTCAGGGCTCCAAGATTATCTTCTATATTTCTATCAATTGGTTTCTTTTCTTTGTTGAAGAGGTTCTGTGTAGCTTGTCTGCTTATTCCTCCATCTAACCGAAGTCCAGAAATTGGCATTCTTAAAAGAGGTCACAAAACTTTATTTCTCTCAAATTGAATTTCATTAAAACTTGATTTGAAAGATGGAACATGGCTATGGACTTAACCTGAACTTTGATACTCTTAACCAAAAGTTCTAGAAACCTATCTTCATACAAGTATGTTCTACGGGAGGGAGAGTTTCCTAAGGCCCTTTCACTCTAAGGGTTGAAGAAGGAAATGTCTTTTGTGTCCAAGAATTCAAAGATTTGTGTAGACAACCCATGACTATTATAGGGCTTTGGGTCTGGGTTGGTAGGGCTCTCTTAGGGAACTGCCCTACACTGAGAGAAGTGTTTTGAGGATTTTAGATGTTATGAGTTTTACTCTCATTTTAGCCTCAATTTTACATGGAGAAATCCACCTGAGAGACTTTAGTGCACCCAGTGTACCAGTGTCTCCCCAAACCTAAAGGTAAAGGCATAAAAAATGCCTTCAGCTGGTAAGTCTCAAAAACAGGTCATGCTTATACCTTTTAGGTACCTGTTACAATGGCTCAACATATACCTTCTAGACTACCTCCTCCACATATACCTTGTGACTAGAAGCCCCCATTCGGGCAATTTGAAAGTTATGATTCAGAATCCTACCCAGAAATCCTGCAGAGAACCATGGTATAGCATCATCCTAAAAGTCCCTGGTTTCAGCCCTTTGCCTCTGGCTCTCCTGACAGTGTGGGCCAAGGGCCAGAAACTCTGAATGTCTACATGTATTGATCTGGAAATTCTACAAAAGCACCTCAGCTAAGGCTGGAGGGATGGGATAGGGAAAGTTAAGTGGAGACTAACTTGCTCAATATACTCTGCCTTCTTGGCCAGGTCTGCTTAAAGGGTTTATTTTTCAGTCTTGGAGATATGTAAGTTCATAATCATTTCTTACTGAGTAGAGACAAGGCAGACACTAGATGTAAGAATATATGTGCCTAAGGATATTGAAGGAAAAAGTTAAGTTTTATGCTGAACAACCTTTGGGCTTTTACCATCAAACAGAATTTCAGTTTCTCCCAGTGTCTGCTAGGATAAATTCCAAAGTTATAGCCACTGGCCTGTGGGGCCATAGGACATTTGAACAATCTATTCTCCTATCCACAAAAGCATATACTAAACTACCTATCCTCATTTTCATATGTTGAACCAACTTTGTTTTTCTGTGATAAATCCCAACTGGTCATGGTATATAATTCCTTTTATATGTTGATGGGTTATAAGCTTTCTAGTATTTTATTGAAGTTTTTTACATCTGTATGTATTAGGGACATTGTATAGTTTTCTTGTGGTATCTTTATCTGATTTTGTTATCAGGGTACTACTGCCCTCTTAGAATAAGTTGGGAAGCATCTCTTTCTCTTTTATTTTTTTAGAAGTGTAGGAAGCCTACTTCAGTTTTAATAGCAGTATAGTATATTTCAGAGTGGATATAATATTTAATAAATTCCTTACTAACATTTTTTTTTGTATAACAATGCTGCAGTAACATCACCTATGCAAAGATCAAACCAAACCAAACCCACTGCCATTGACTCAATTCTGACTCAACCCCATTGGGTTTCCAAGGCTATAAATCTTTTCTTTAAATTGGGACTTGGGTGAAAATTCACAGAGCAAATTCACTTTCCATACAGCAGTTCACATATACTTTGTCTCATGACATTGACTACAGTTTACCACAATGCAACAGCTCCCCTCCCACTTCCTCCCGATAGTTACCTCTTCCCTGTGTCCATCTCTCCGTGCACTCCTGCCCCCTGAGCTAGTCCCCCTGTGCATCAACAGCCCTTCTTTCTCCCATTGTTCTTTCCAAGGAGTGTATCTACCTTAGGTAAATGTTCAACTCACATGCCAGTCTTTTGTTAAGGCTATAAATCTTTACGTAAGTAGATCACCTCATCTTTCTTCTGCAGAGCAGTTGGTGGGTATGAACCATTGATGTGGTTAGCATCAGTATGCCACCAGAGCTCCATTATGCAAACACGGGCATCTGTAATTTCTAGGTCAACAAAGAGATATATATATATATGTAAATACATATATGTATGTGTACATATGTGTATATATGTATATATATATATATACTTAAAATTCTGATACTGGTAATCTGGTCTCTGAAAAGTTATAGGTGACTGTTTTCATTTAAATGTCTTTCATTGTTAATTAAGGAAGTGTGGTATGCATGAAAATGATCAGAAAATCTCTGGATCTGGTCTGGATTTTAGTACTTTTCAGATGGGTAATGTACAGTGAAAATTCATTCCACTTCTGTGCCTTCCTCCCAAGATGCATTTCATCTTAGTGACAGTCCTCTAAAGACTGCCTAAATGTCTGGATTTCTCCTAAGATTTAGGATGTTAAGTGGTGGGAGACTTGGTAAACAGCTGGTAAATGGGGAGTGAAATTTGGATGGGGGAAAAGAGAATTCAGCCTTTGCTGCCTTTCTGCAATAACAGCCATCAAACCCAGTTTGTAGGAAAATGGGGTAAAGCTATAGTCCCCATTGTTGTTGTTGTGTTGTTGTTTGCCATCGAGTCGGACCCAACTCATAGTGACCCCTCCTTGGGTTTCCGAGGCAGTATCCCCATTAGTATCCCTCAATGCACAGAGGCTATTGTGCTGTGAAGAAAAAGGTTCTGAGCTACTAGGGGCCAATCTAACTGTGGGATACACAGAGCAACGTGTATCTTTTGTCCTCAAAATGAAGATAAACTAATACCAGGAGAAATACATGCTTGGAGAAGCAAAGCCAAAGGAGCCAGCGGTCAGTTTGTACTGTTTTATTATATAAAACATAAGAAAATTCAAAAGCATTAACATTGCCTAGTTTGTTGATTGAAGATATATTCTCTGGTTTATTCAATATAAACATTCACCAAAGCTGCAGGAAATTGAATTGAACCTTCAGAAGGTATCGCATACGGACCTGGTTGGGGTTATAGACGATGAATTCATTGTAGTTGAGGGTATAACCCTCTGGATTCACAACTCCTGTGTCACCAGCTGGTCCCAAGGGCACTGTGCTCCCATTCCTGTCAAATGGAAAAAGGTGTGCCAACAGCAGCCTCTGGTGCAGAAGTTGGAATGGAGGAAGCTAAAAGGAGTGGTCTAAGCCTCCTGGGTCACTTACAGGGTGATGAAGCTTGAAGGACTGGGAGCCATCTTGCCCAGCCCCTTGGTGCTGTGTTTGCCCTGAAGTAATCCTTCTGCCTCAGGATTGGCCTTTAGTAGCTCATTACACTGACCTAGAGCTACCTACAAAGCAAAAGACCTTTGAATGCCCATGTCCGACTGAGAATTAGATGGCTCTAAAGCCAACAAAAAAGCCCACCAGCAGTTTCTTCCCAACAGAGGAATGCAAGGCAGTGGGAATTGCATTTGCTCCCCTATCAAGTCTCCCTTTTGGTTCTGGGGTCCAACTTTTCTCTTTTAGAAAAACAGGAACTAATAGTCAATTAGAGATCACAGATGTGCTCCTGCCTCACCTCTGATAACAGCAGCAATCCTGTGTCCTTTAGGCGAGAAGCAAAGCAGTAATTGGCACTCTTGGAAGACATGTCAGCAAAGTAGATTCCTTTTCCAAACTGAAATATACAAACAAAACATCAAGGTCAGCTGCTCAAACCACTGTGTTAGAAGGCAGGCTCAACCACTGACCCTGTGTCTCCATTCTCTTCAACACGATATACATCATTTTCCACTTCCTCCCCTAAATTCTACTGCAGAGAGGGCAGAACCATCTGTGAATCTCTGCTTTCTGGTGAAAGGAGGGATATCATTAGGAAATTAAAGAGAAAATGATGTAGTAAGAAATAGCAGGATTATCAATAAAGTGGTTTGATTCTTGGAAAAGGGGCATCACCTAATCCTACTCTAGGAAAAAAGGAAATTACTATATTTCCCCCTGTGCTTCCTTCCATTGTTCAATTTCTACTCACCATATAACCTGTGATGGGAGCTTCAGGTGGGGCAACTCGAAGCCCATGGCTCAGGATTCCCACCCAATTACTCAGCCTGGAACCATGCCATAGCAGCATCCTAAGGAAAAATCATTATTGTCAACTTGTACTCTCTGGCACACAAAGCCCATGAGCATAAATAGCCAACAGCTGCCTCTGTCATCTCCTCTATAATTTCCACAACTACACTGCAGGCAAGGCCCCGAGAGTAAAAAAGACGGGATGTTTTTCTGAACTCAGAGCCAGACTCAGACCTGTTATGAAGGTCCTCTCTGAAGGCTTCTTTCTCACCCTCCTTCTCTACTTCAAAAACGTCCAGCAAGGTCATGGTATAGTCACTGTGTGTGGGAGCATGGGTAGACTGCAGGTACTGAGAAATCACCTGTGAAAAAGAATGAAAGGAATGGCTGCTGTGGCCTCCAAGAGAGACTGGGCCGAGCTGAAGAACATCATGGCTTCTGGTAAATCCTGGCAGAACTGTCTGTCTGCTCCCAAATGGTCTCATGAGGTAGGAAGAAGAGCTCTAGTACCCAAATTCCTAGTCAATGAAAACTGTTCTATTTGATAGTTTTCTCTCAACCAGAAGCAGAGAACAGTGGGGTAGGAGAGAGAAGATCTATAGATATGAAAAGAAATGATCATTTTTCTTACTTTGAACTCATAACTTGCGTGGTCTAGAGGGTGCATGGCACAATGGAGGTTTCTATAGTGTTGATCCAGTGGGTGTTCTGGGCTTTGCAGCTCTGTTTTCACCAGCTTGATGGCAATTTCAATGTCTCCCAAAGCCTGATAAGATGAGATACAGAATCAATGTAGGAGGAAATTAGGACAAGAAATTTAGTACCTCCCAATCTGGACATCTCTCACCTCTAGTAGTTGCACTTTTTCTGCCAGTTCTTTCTCTGTTCGGATTAGTGGAGGGGTACGGAGTCTAAGGAAAGAGGTATATAACCCATAAGATATGTGGCCAAATGGCCCATAACTAAAAATAGCAGACTAAAAATAGGTCCCTTAGAAAACAGGTATGAGAAACTGGGTTTTCATTTGAAAGAGAGAGATCTGTGAAGACTTTTAACTTCCAAATATATAAAAGAATAATAGATATATACTCTGAGTGATAGAATACAAATTATATAGATTCTGACATTTGGGACAAGGATAGAAATACTGCGAGTTGGAATCAACTCCATAGCAGTGGCTTTGGTTTTTGTTTTTTCACTAAGGTATACTGACATCAATAAGGAATTGTTGGTTATAGTCCCATCTAGAAGCAGAGGTACCCCTGTACCTCATAAAGTCACATGGTTTTAAAAAGAAAGAAGGCACAAAAAACAACATATAGACTGAAAAAAGATAAAATGTATTTCATGTGACCACATTACTTGAGTTCACAGAAATGGTGTTAATGTGGTTATAATTACCGTAAGGAAAAGGAAAACATGGATGCCATGCTTGAAAGTATTTTACTTGGTGGTTAGATACTAGACTCATTCTCTCTTAAGTCAGTAATTTCCACTTGGTCAGGGAATATGGTTGTAATAGACCACGAGACTGCCTCAGATATATGTGTTAGCTGATTAAATAAGCTATCTATAAATTATTTTGGTTCTCTATTCAAGACAGTAATTTCCTTAGAAATGAAAATTTTGAAAGATTATAGTTGCTGCTAATAGATTTAGTGGATAGGGAGTAGTAGAACAGACTGATAGTCAGCACAAGCCTTACCCAAAGTCATGTGGGATCCTGGTATAGAATTCATTGCATGCTTCTGTGAGAGCTCGTCCATGCCGGCCAGCCCGAATACAGTCCTCAATCTTCTTAAGAGACTGGTAACCTGCCTTGATTTGTGCAACTGTCAGCTTTCCTGCAGACCCAGGCAGAGATCAGATTTCACAAACAGGGTCTCATCCAATAAACTGCACTTAGGTTCCTGCCCAAGAAAAGACTTTCAAAATAGAACCTTCCTCTCAACAACTTTTCACCCTCAAATCCCTTTTCCTCATTCAATAGTACCATAATGGTGATGGAATATCCCATTAAAGGAACTAGGAAATATGAAAATGTAGGACAGAATCTGAAGTCCTACCAAGTGGGGCTTTCTTGGTATCATACTTCATCTCTACCATCATCTCTTCCATGGCTTGGACATTACAAATCAATTTCATCAGCTCCTGTACCCGAAGATCTAGCCGTGACTCTGGTTTCAAGGAGGATTTAAGAGATTCCTCTTCTTTTGTTTCTTTTTCACCCTATTGCAGAAAAAAAAAAAAAAAAATCATTAAACTCTGAAAGAATCTATTTGAAGCTCCCTGTAAGGACTGGCTTTCTAATACCCCTGGGCAGATGATCCTCA